TGAGGGGGGTGGGGTGGGGTGGGGTGGGGGTTGGCATCTCCAAGGGGCTGCTTTAATGACTTTGTTGGAACACCTGAGGAAGATGGAGGAGCCAGGGATTCAGCTTGTTCTCTTTCCCCTTCCTAAAATTATGTGTGGTCACCCCACCCCCATTCTTGCTAGTCCTACAGAGTAGTGGAAAGTAGAAAATGCTAAGTGTGATTAACTAAAGGCTTTAGAAAACTCGGGGGACTCAGGTCAGAGAGTGGAGACCAGCTTTGGTATCCCCTGACCAGGTCGCTTGTGTCAGAACACCGTCCTCTCCTTACTCTGCAAGGGGAGGGGCGGGGCAGGGAACAGGTATCTAGTTATTCAAGTCTCCGAAGCCAGGGACCTTTGCAGCCCTGCGCCTCTCCCCTACCCAACTAGGAAACAAGGCGTTGCTCAAACTCAGGGATGCTTTAAGCACAAGGAGTAGAAGTCTCTTCCTATGGCAGAACATACTTCCTCCGGGAATGAAAGTGTGGTTGTGAGTTAGGCATCTTCGTGTCATCCCAGGACTCCTCCGGTGACAGGAAGAAACTCTCCCAGGTCAGTCACTGCTCAACCGCTGCGTCCGGTGGGGTCACATTTCTTGCTTTCCAGGGACTCCCTAAGCCCACTGGGCACATTTGACGGTGTTTTAGGGTTACACTGGAAATACATATCGTTTTAAGGTTTTCAAAAAATACTTTGAACAAACCTCCCTAATACGTGTGAAACTAATAAGTTGAGAGAAGTTTTGAAAAGTCAAAATTCTCTAAAAAGGCACATTTTGGGGGGGTTGTTTTGCCTTTTCTTCTCTTTTTTTCTTTTATTTTCAGTGTTGTTTCGTTACTGTAGTGATTCCCAAGCGGCCCCTTGAGTTTCTGCACCTTCAGTTCTAACTCAGTGCCACAATACCTTGCTGTTGCTGTTGCTAGCAGCTGTTTGCCTTTTCCTTCCATCACCCAGAGACTGGAAGCAAGGGGCGGGGCAGGGCTGGTAGAGCTCCAGGTGAAGGCTTAAAAAACTGCTTCCGGCCCTCCTTGATGGCGGAGCGGGTTAAAGCACAGCACTAAGAAGCTAAAGCCACTTCCGCATGAGTTCGATCCCCGCCTGCCCCGGAGGAGATCCACATGGTGAGGCAGACCTCTCCTGACCCGCCCACTGCTCCCTCAGCAGTGTACTTCGTCCATCTGCCTGTTCTGCTCCCCGCTCTGTCTCTGGTGAATCCTCTCACCCTCCGCATCTCTGGCCTGTACCCCAGTTCTGTATGAATAAATAAATAAATCTTAAAAAAAAAAAACAAAAAACTGCTTCCAAGCACCCAGGAAATGCTCAAAAGTCAACCTTTAGTTTAGCCCGCAGGCCCTTATCTCTCACCAACCTCATTCCCCAGAGATTGCTCTCCACAAAGATGTAAAACAGGGCAGTTGAAATTTCTTTAGCTGTCATGACCTCTGCCCTTCCCCATCCCCACAAATGCATAAGTTCTAAAGCCTTAAAATGCTGTAGAGCTCATAGAGTGACAGTTATTTTCATTTAGCTATGGAGTTGAGAAGGGAATCAGGGAGGCACCCCAAACCCTCAGTTAGCTAGATTTTTCTCCAGCCCTTCTTTCTCCAGTTTGTCCTGTTGAACATGGACATTTCTTTCTCTTTCTCTTTTTCCTCACTCTTCTGGGATTTTTGACATTATTACTGATCATTTGATAGCTAAGACAAGAGGTGATTCTGTCAAGGGTCACTCATTGTCTTGGAAGCAGGTGCATAAATCAGGAACACTCTAGGGGTTGTGAAATTCACCTGTCCTCTTTGCTCTTTCAGACTGACACTGAATTGTTCATGTAAAAAATACAGCTTTAAGAAACCACTTGAAATTTTTCTCTTAATTGGTATTTGCCTTTGTAGTAAGCAAACTTAATTCAATTTATTGTCTTTTTGATCCACTGAAGTTGTTGGGTAAATCAGATGACACACTGATTCACCTTGTGTTCTTTCCCCTTGAGGCAGGAGCCTGAAGTGTGGGGATCACCAGGCACTGCTGTCATCTTGGAAGGATGCAGCTGCCATCCCAGCAACGTGTGGGCAGAACCGTTTGTGGTTAGAACCCCATTCTCCCACGATGTGCTATAGGACAAAATTGAAGCATGAGGCCAAAGAACCATGGAATGGTTCAAGCAATCAAATTACAGATAATTATAATTCCAAGGAACAAAAGCAGGTCTTCCTGGTTGGAGATAACTTCATCATTGTGAGCATAAAAAAAAAAAAAAAAAAAGAAAAAGAAAAATTGCTTTGAAAGACATAAGTTGGCGTTTGCAAGAAGCCCAAGCATGCTATCGTCTCCAAAGTGACATCTCATTCCTAGGGCCAGCAGGGCCCACATCGCTGTGATCAGGCTTGTTTTCTCCTCTGTGCTCCCTCATCCTACTTCCCATATGGGAACACACTCCCCATCTGTGCAATCTTTTTGCTCTTCACAGTTGAGATTTTAATTTAATGATTGTAAGAATTATCACCATCATCCAATTCTGTGGTGTTTTACTTTTGAAAACACTTTCACCTTTTCTCCAATGCAGAGAGCTGGGAGGGTGTGTGTTCCCAAGAATTTACAGGGAAACCTAGAGCACAGGATTGAATTCCCTAGAGGTGCCACCTGCATTTCAGTGTTTCAGGGTAGTCAACTTCCTGTGACAACAGCAGTGACCCAAATCCCCTCTTTGCCCTTCACAATCTTTCCCAGCTGACTTCATATCAATAGATGGAAGTTCTTTCTGTCCAGTTCACATTCAAGGGCTCTGTGTTTCAGTTTTCTTACATTTGAAAATTGAGAACCAGTTATGTTTGGTAATTTTTCCAATATTTGAAATAAAATAGTATCTTTAAGGCAATCTACTGGAAAAGTAGAAATTCTATTTCCAATGACTAAGTGTTGTAGCCAGGGACTGACTAGTCAGAGAAGCAGGTGTTCTAGTTTCCAAAACACTTGGAGGCTTGTGCTGAGCTTGAAATAAATCTCTCCCTGTCACTGAACATACTTGGAAAGTATTTTCATGAATCTTAATTTTTTTTCTTTAAATTGTAGTATAACAACTGGCATTGCCAGTAGGGTATGTGAACTCGAGAGAATTCTTTGTATCCATTTATCTACAGTAAGTATTTGTTGAATTAATGAGTCCATCAAGAAATTAGATAGAAACATTTGCATGGCTTATTAACATATATTCTATTATTTTTAGAGAGGACAAACTAGTAGCTTATCTTTTGGGATATGTAGAAATATTACTACAATCCTCTTTTTCTCTGGAAAGAAAGTGAGATGGTTGAAAACAAATTAGGAGCTGAGGGGACCCATCTTTAGTGCTTGACTGGGGAGGGATGCTGATGGATTCAGTCATTTTAAAGCATTATGTGCTAAAAGGGGGGCTTCTAAACGGTGGAAGATTCAGGGGCCAGCACTGCAGATGAGGTGATTTTTGATATGGATAGATGAGAATTTTTATAGTAAGGGTTACAATTCAACTAGCATATCATAGAGACCTGGCCGATATCCCATCAGATAATGCTGTCCAGACTTTGGGTAAAGCTGCTGTGTCATGGTCTCAGTCTTTGTGGACCTGTTTCTACCTTTGCTGGCCAGAGTGTGAGGCAAGTGTCTGTTCTTTTTCGGAACTTCTAATGAAGCTGCTCAAAGTTCTCCTCCATTTGGTCCTGGGACCGCATGACGGGGCACCCTCAGCTACCCTTTCCCAACACCAGCCTTGGTGTCTAATCCAGACACGCTAGGAGCTGTCCAGTCTCCCTACCACGCACTTTATTTTTAAATTCTATATAACTGGTGTGAATTTCTGATTACATTTAAAAATTTGGTTTTACCTTGGATGTCATGGACACTACTCTGTCAGGAAAGTAGTGTTTTAGCATAAAATATGAATTTTAAAAATGTGAATAAATAATTGTACAAGTGATAAGTAGATATAATAAAAATAAAACAACAATTGGCAAAAATCTACAGATTGGGAACATCATTGCAAATATTGATAGCATCAATGAGCTTCCTGGGTACAGTGAAAAATTAACAGTGGCATGTCTCATGATTATGTAGGCATCTCACAACATATACATACATCGGTTTATCACATTGTACTCTAGAACTTACATAAAATTACATCGATGATCTTTGAATAAATTTAGAAAACAATAAAGTTAAGATATCTTAAAAAAATAGTTTTCAGACCTTAGTACAAAAAAAACATTAATTAGTATATGATGGGAAATCTTAAAGGTCTGGAACAGGTACTTTTGGAAAAGGGAATAAATTGTGTTATTTCTTTGGTGAAGATCAGATTTTTTTTTTTAAATCTAATATTATATACTACTTATATATTAGACATTCCAATCTATCTTGTCCTAGAGGAATAGATCATTTATTTTTGACATTATTTCCCCCAAATAGTAAACTACTAATGTAATAAATACCTGCCAATCATGTTAGGAATCAGTGTATCACATGTGCTTGTGTATGTGGGTGTAAACCAGCATATGTCTCTGAGATTGGCTATTATTTCTTGTTAGGACTATTGGTAATTTCAGTGCTACTTCTTCTGGGCTCATCATTATAAAGCCATGCTTTTTTTTGTGTCCCAACTCCCAGGAGCAAGTTATGACTCCTTTATTATCATTCTTACCGTAAGATTCTTGGAGCTCCGGTTTGTGATCAAACGTCTGGAGATCAGAGATGTCTCTCCCACCAATTTTACTTTTTTATCTGATCCTTTCATTTTATCTCAGGTATTTCATTAAAAATTGGGGATTGAAGATTGGATTAAGTAAAGATTTTGACACCTGAAAATGATCTTTATGGCTCAGGGAAAGAGCAATAAGGCACAGGCCATCATCATAGCCTCCCCCCAAACCCCCCTATAATATTCTCCATGGAAGGAAAAGTCCAAGTAGAGGAGATTTCACTTTAAAATCACATGACACCAAGCAATCAGCTATATTTCCGTTATGACCTTTATTGAGCAATTACTGCTGTGACGTTAAACATCCATCAATGAAAGTTTGCAAACTGTGCGTGTCGACGAGGTTCTCCCATGAACAAAAGTCCATTTTTAATGCACCAGTGAGGTAAACATAATTACTATATATAGCTTTCTTAAGGCTAAGAGAGTTCTGTGTTTCATTTATTATTTTTGGCTCAGTTGGTTCTTTGCATAATACATCTCAAGACATCCCCCTGAGTGCCCCCCTTCCAACAGTTTAGGAAATCGATCAATTCCCCGGGTACATACAATATCATGCATTTGAATCCCCCAAAGACTGAGGAGAGAGCACCCTGAGCTTGCATGCATTTCCCTCATATTGCACAAAGTAAAATACAGTGTCTGGAGCCCCCATGGGAGAACCCGTTCTGTTTTGAAGCTGTCAATCACATGCATTTTGAAATTGTCATATGGCTTAACCTTTTGCAATGGACTCAAATATTAGTCACTCTGTGTGACTTCCTTTACTATGGCGTGTGAAGTGACCTTCTCTACTTTTTTAGTAGACACTAGTTTCTCCTCAAAGGTCTCTTCATGCTCTTCGACCTTTTGAGTGACGGTTACAGACTTAGTGATGTATTTGGTAGCACCATCTCCCCCCTCGCTGGTGATTTTTTCTACCTTTTTGGTCACCACCACTTTTTCCTCACTTCTGTCATCCCCTTTCTTCTCATCCGCTGGGCTCAGGTCTAGCCCATTGGTGATGACCCCTTTCTCCTCTTCTCCCCCACTGCCTTTCTCCTTCGTTTCCTGCTCGTCCTCCTCCTTCCCTTCCACCTCCCCATTAACTGCTATGTCTTCCTTTGTGGAATCCTTGGACCCTTGATCACTGCCTTCCTCCTCACTCCCTCCTTCCTCTTCCGCTTTCTCCTTCTCTTTCTCCTGCTGCTGTGGCTTTGCCTCCTCTTTGGCATCTTTTTCTAAGCTCACCTTTACCGACTTGGTGACCGTGACTACCTCCTCCACAACCTCCTTGACCGGCGAGTCAGCTTTCTTCTTTTCCAACATGTCCCTTGGCTTCTCCTCCTTTTTCTCTTCCTTCTCTTCTTTGCGAACTTCCTTTGCTTCTTTCTTTTCTTCCTCCACTTTCTCTTCTTCCTCTTTCTGTTCACCTTTCACAGGTGCAGCTTCTGCCTTTGGCTTTGACTCTTCCACTGGCGATTTGGCCACTGGCGATTTGGCCACTGGGGATTTGGCCACTGGTGATTTGGCCACTGGTGATTTGGCCACTGGTGATTTTGCCACCGGTGACTTCACTTTCTCTGACTTTTCCACCTTGGTTTCTGCCACAGACTCCTCCTTGGGACTCACTTCTCCACTTTTTTCCTCTGCTTTCTTTTCCTCCTTAGCTTCGGTTTCCTCTCCTTCACCTTCAGCCTCTGTTTCCCCTTCTTCTTCCTGCTCACCTTCCTCTTTTTCACTAGAACCTTCCTTCTCGGATCCTCCTTCCTCTGCTTGGTCTGATTTTGCACCCTCCTCTTCCTCTTCCTCCTCCTCCTCCTCTTCCTCTTGGCCTTCTTCCTCCTTTTCCCCTTCTTCAGGTGCTGCAGCTTTCACAGGAGATTTTTTGGTAGCTACAATTTCTTCTTCGGCTTCTTCTTCCTCTTCCTTTTCTTCTTCCTCTTCTTCCTTCGTCTCCTCCTTCATGGAAACGGCCGAGAGCTCCTCTGCGATGGCGGCCAAGGCATCTTCCATTTCTGACTTCTCATCTTCTACTTTGGTTTCTTCTATGATCTCCTCCACAAACTTGTGTTGGACCTTTAGCTTAGGAGCCTCTACCTTGGCTTTCTGAATCTTACTGGATATTGTGACTGAGGGCTGTCGGTGTGTATAGAGAGGCCCAGTGATACTTCCTGAAAATGTGCTAAATCTGGTCTCTTCACCCTCCAGGAGTTTTCTAAATAGAGAAACAAAGAAGACAGCACAATTAAAATGGCATTGGGGCTCATGAAATTCCTTACAGTACGGGTAATGAATCGATACCTTTGAATAAGCAGAATCACATGAATAAAATATCCCATCAAACCAAAGTAATAGCTGCGATCATTTCACTGGCCTATTGTTGAATATTCAGTGACTGAGGTGGATTCTCCAGGATCAACAGCCAGTGACCTGCTGCTGTAACTAACCACATGGAGAATCCACTGACCACACCCAACCACCAAGTGTCAGCCCTGCGGCACTTACTGGTGCAACATGAATATGCTGACAAGCTCCCTAGTGGCCAAAAACCTTCCAGTGCTCTTTTTGAACATGTGGGCTTTAAGCGTACAAACTAAATTTCTTTTAGTGAATGTAGAGTTCAAAATTTTTTATGAAACTATTTAGCATATACCAGAAAGTAGGTCGCATATATTTAGCTAGGCGCTAATATAGGTGTATCAAGTTAATCAGAAATTGTTTAATATCCAGCATCCTGAAAAGAGATATTTCTGTGAGGGCAGTTTATTCTTGTAATATTATAATGACCTTGTCGGTAGTAGAAAAACTGTTGAGTCAAAGGTGTTTTTTTCCCTGTAAGCTTAATCAATAGCATGGTGCTATCAGCTAATAGAACTACAATCTCTTCTTTCACTGCATTTTAGATTTACAGATGGAAGCCTATAGATCTATAGGCTATAGGTCTATGTATATATATCATGTGATATAGATATCTAGATATATAATCTCTATGTCTATATAGACTAAAAACACATCTAAATTATCAGTGTAGCTCTAAAATAATTATACCTACATATAATTTATTAATCTACATCTATATTCAGCCAGATGATGGCAACAGCAAGCTGTAAAACAGAGAAATTGAATGTCCTGGTGTTTGTCCTTGACATTATGAAGTTGAAAAGCTGAAACCACTAGATAAAATTTTCAAAACGAAAACTCTTGTTTTCTTCATCCATTTGGAGAACAATTATCACTGGTAAACAAAAGGTTAATTACAGCATTGAAATTAATTGGCACGGTCCTAATTCAAAACACTTTATTTCAACTGATGTGTACTCTCTTAAAATTGTATAGAAAGTTGCAATATCATATTTGCAATTTTGGAGGTTTTTTGTTTTTTGTTTTTTTAATTAAGAAAACCAGGCACTGGTGTCAGACTGCTGCGCACTGCTTACTTTAACTCAAGTGGTGAAGGTTCTGTCAGAAGAGCCTCTGCAGTGCGGTTTGTATCTCTCCCGGGTCTGCAGTGAGCACCCTACCTGTACGCAGCGATTTCGATATCCAGAGCCATCTTGACGTTGAGGAGATCCTGGTATTCTCGCAAATGACGAGCCATTTCCCACTTGGTACCCCGAAGTTCGTTTTCCAGTTGCTGGATGGTGTCCTGAAACAGACGCAGAGTCCCCACAGAATCACCTTCTGAAAGCAGCTAATTTCACAGACAATACACTACCCTTCCCTCTACCTTCCAAACTCTCCAACTCTGCAAACCGAGGGGCCATCACTCCCAGTTTTCCCCCCACCCCTTAAAAACAACAACAACAACAAACCAGGGATTCTCAAGTAAGAGAACTGATCATTGTCATGATCAATAAGACAATAGGACTTTTCTTAAGCACGTAATGCACTGAGACCAGCGGCTCTAAAACATGCCTCATCGGGAGATATACATGCTCGGGAAAACCCCGAGGGGCCGAGTGACCTGTCTCTTCCCGTTGGGGGCCCTTTGGGCTAAAGACCCTTTTGAGGATTTCTCACCGCCTGAAAAGTTGAGAATACATGCTTTTCTTCACAAAGTGTCCTAAAGTTGCTGCTTTATCAACTACCTAATATATTCTTCCGACTTTGAACATGCAAGCGTGCAACACTAGAACTTGCTAGAAAAGGGCTCTTTGGATTTGGAGCTGGAGGCTGGAGTTACTGTTTAGAGGGAACCGGGAGTGGCTAGAGTGCCTTAGTGCACCGAACTTGGGTCTGTGGCTCGCGCGCTTTGGAAAGTGGCCACCAGGGGGCGCCGCGGAGAGGACGCCGGGCGCGCGCCAGAGTGTCCCGGGCGCGCGGCGCTGGCGCTGGCGCAGCCAGGCGGCGCAGCCGCGGTCCTTACCTGGTAGCTACTGAGGTCGTGGTTGTGGCGCTCCTCGATGTCGCTGAGCTGCCGCTCTAGGGACTCCTTGGTGCCACGCACTGACTCGAGTTCAATGCTCTTGGACTGCAACTGGCGCCGGTACTCGGCGATCTCTTCCTTGGCGGAGCGGATGGCCTCCTTGTTCTGCTCGGCCGCCTCTGTGAGCTTGGCGTAGCGGCACTTAAACCACTCTTCGGCCTGGTGCATGTTCTGGTCGGAGTGGCACTCGAGCTGGGAGCGAATCTCTTTCAGCGCCGAGGAGATGTCTGTCTTCAGGTAGTCTTTGCGCTCCACCGTGATGTGAGACGCCTGGATCTGGGCCAGCAGATCGGCCACCTCTTCCTCGTGATTGCTCCGCAGGAAGGCCACTTCGTCCTGCAGCGACTGCACCTTCTTGTCCAGCTCCACCTTGACCAGCGATGCCTCTTCGATGTCTTTGCGCAGCGCGCGGATGGCCGCCTCGGTGTCGTCGCGCATCCGCGCCTCCTCCTCGAAGCGTTCCTTGAGCCGGTGGATGTCTTCCTCCAGGTGGTCGGAGTCTAGCTGGACCTGAGCTTTCTCGTGGTTCACCATCTCGAGTGTGGTGCGCAGCTCACGGATCTCCTGGTCGTACGCGTCACTCAGTTGAGCTTGCGATGCCTGCTTCTGCCGCAGCGCCTGGATCTCCGCCTCGATTTCCTTGTTCTGCTGCTCCAAGTAGTGCACTTTCTCGATGTAGCCCGCGAAGCGATCGTTCAGCCCCTGCAACTGCTCCTTCTCGTTGGAGCGGGACAGCTTGTAGTCGCCGCCCGGGCCGGAGCCGCCGTTGAGCAGGGACGAGGACTGACTGAAGTCGAGGCTGCTCTCGGCGGAGCTGAGCATAGCCGAACTGTAGGCGAGGCGAGGGCCAAGCGCGCTGCGCTTGTAGGAGGAGGACACGGTGCTGGGCGAGCTGCGGGACCACGACTGCGAGCGGAAGCCGCTGGACGGGGAGCCGCTGACCCGGCTGAAGCTCGAGCGGGTCTCGGTTACCCGCCGGTAGGCGGACGGGTTGCCCAGCGAGTCTAATGTGTAGCTCATCTTGGAGGCCTTGGGGTGTACGGCTGTCACAGCGTTCAGCTGGCCTCGCCGCAGCCCATTTATAGCCGCGGCGGCTGGGCCCGGGCCAGCGCCCCGCCCCGAGGAGGCGGCGGCCGAGGAGGCGGGGACTGCGGGCCCCGGGCCCGGGGGGTGGGGGGTGGCGGTGTAAGACAGCCCGGCAGTGATTCAGCGCCTGTTCCACGTGGGCCCTCGCCGCACCGGACCCCGGACTTTGCTGCCCCAGCCCCTCCCCTCCCCCAACTCTCCTTTGGGTCCCAGGCCACTTGTCGCCCCGCTAGTCCCCCACTCGCCCTTCACATCTCTTCACCTTCGGATTGCAGTGTACAAGACCCGCCCAACGTCCTTTCTTTGTCTAGTCACTTTGCAGACGTTCGGACAGCTTTTTTTTCCCGGACCCTCCGACACCCTCGCTCTTCTTTAGTTCTCTGCATTTTTATCTTCTGTATTTCGCTTCTTTTCCTCTTTCACTGTTACTTTTTTCTTGACCCACTCTGCTTAATCACTTCCCCTTCTTTTCGACATCTTCTCCCACTTGGAGTCTTGTGTCTCACTCGCTTGACCCCTTCTCTGAGCCGCTTCCTCCTGGGCTTTTTCCCCTCCCTACCCTTTCTTTCTCCGCTTCTCCGGCTACCCCTCCCCCCTTCTTCTCCTTTCCCCAGTCCTCCCCCACCTCTTCCTGTGCCTCTCTTCCCTTCCCTCCTCCCCTCCATCTAGTCTTAAAGCAGTTCCAGATGAGCGCTGAGGAGTTGAATTAGAATAGACTTTGAGGAATGGTCGGCCTGAAGGATCAGGAAGGGGACGTAAAGAATGGGCCCGGGTGGTTATTTCTATTAAAAGTGGGATGTGGAGCTACATTCTTCTTAACGTTTGGGGAACCTTTGCAGCTTCCTCGGGGGCGAAGGTAAGGCGCTTGGACTCGCGATGGCGCCGGCAGCACCGAGGACAGCTCCCAGGCCCGCGCGTCCCGAGACCCAGCTGTCCAAGGGTCTTGTCACCCTGCTGGGCGGGTCTAGTTGGCGGCGGAGAGGGGTTTCATCCTCCTCTTCTCAAGAAAATACAGTGGAAGGCTTTTTGTAGTGAATGTCTGGTGGACCCAAGCTGGAATCGAACGCAAAGATTTCTCTGCAATGCAGGGTTGGCACAATGAACAGAGTGCAGATTTTGAAAACAGCTGAAATTCACTGAAGTAAGTTAACAGAAAGAATATAATTATAGCCTAGTTTGAGTGTTCTAACATGTGATGGATGCGAGAAATCAAGAGACATGGGGCCTGTAATTTTGAAGGTCAAATATTCCTTGGAAAGGGGAATATGAAATCTGTTGAGAGGGAAAATCCAGGGAAACGTAATTTATGATAAGTTTGAACACAAGCAATTGCCTTGTCATCTTCCTACTTAGTACTCCTAATATGTACCTGCAGTGATTGAAAAGACTTTGAATTAATTTAACATTGATATAAAAGTTATCTATCAGAGTCATCACAACCTTGAATGAAACTATTTTCCCCCTCCTTCATTTAAATCTATTTCCTCATTTAGACTTTAGTGAAGGATTTGGAATTTATTTTCCATCTTTCAACATGTTTATTTAAACAAAAAAACCTATGTAGACTTCCTGCTGTTTGGTGCACTGCAAACTATTAAAAACATCCTTTGTTTTGCGGAGTGCTTTCAAAGTAATTCAGGGTTTCAGGGTTAAAAAGAAAAAGTTGAGAACACAGCAAGACAAAGTGAAGAACAGAACACAGAACGAATGAAAGTGCTTCCTGGGTCCACAGTCATAGTGATTGCATGTGCTTGCTGTGGCCCAGGAGGGGTCACTGCTTGTGAGAAGTAGAGACCCTGCACTTAAATATCTTTTCACAGCATGCTTTCTCTAGTCCTGGTTTTATTAAGCCATGAAGTTATAGCTATCAGTATCCAGAAAAAAAAAAGATTTTAAAGGTTTTCCTTTTTCTGTATAAGATCTCTTATACAAAAGTTGTACTTTACAATGGAAGGGGTTAATTTAGGGAATTACTTTTGGTTCCATAAAAATGAAACTGCAGCAATGCAAGCTGTATGGGGGAAGGATGTTCTACTTTGCAAGTGACGGGTTACCTCTCAGGCAAGGAGAGACCTTGTCGACAGCTTTTGGGAGAGACAGATGACAAAGGGAGGGGACCGACTTCTGAAGATTATAAAAACTGGATGTTCTGGGCTTAGGTGGATACATCCAGGCCAATGGGAAGAAGATTCCTTGTTTTCTGTGAAGTACTTTGGGTTGCCCTTTGCAAGATGTCACCAGATAAGGCCAGATACTTACTTTGCAGTATTTATGCCCTACTACTTATTGCTTTCTTCTGTTATTAAGAAAGAATAAAAAAAGAACTTACTAATTTCATGTTGCACATGCACTGAAAGCACTTTCTGCACAGAGAACATACGACTCACCGGCAGGCTGCTGCTGTTCGTGTTTTTTCCAGAGCTTTGAAAATGAAATGACTCTGCAGAGAGACATTTACAAGGAAACACATGTCTGACTTCACAATTAACCTGCTTTGCCTTGTATCTAAACCAGCTCAGAAACTGTTAAGTTTCCAGCTGCTTACAGAAAGAGGAAGGGTGGCATCCAGACAAAATATTGGTCAATTACTCAGACAAATCCTGTTAGTTCCTATAGCCTATAACTGTCTCTGCAATTATCACAAAGTGTTGTTTAGTCTGTGCACAATTCAATAATGCAGATAAGTATAGCAGTCATCGTATTAAGGACAGAAATTCCTGTGCTTTAAAAAATGGTCGGTCTAGTTCCACACTTCACAAAATGCTTTATATTAAAATTTTTTACTTTAATCACACTTCCTGAAGGTGACTTGAAGGTTATGCTCATCATTGAACTTAGTATAAAAACTTTTTTCTAGAAAACTCTAACTTTCACTTTTTCCTCTGGTATTTTTGAAGAACATTTGTTATCCTCATAGTTTTCATAGAAAGATATATAAGGTTTTGCATTTTACCCTAATGACATTAAGGCTATGGAGTCTTCTGACAATGCTAATGACAGAGAAAATAAATATGAACACCTAACTGAATTTATAGCACTGCTGTGTTTGATTATGATAGTACTATAATTTATTCTAAATATGAGGTTAACATAATTCAGATGTAAGGCATTTTAAATGAAATTATCTCAGGATTGTTAAGCCACCAGAGAGTATGTGTTGAACCATTTTAAAGGGAGAGACAGAGCACACTGTCTATTTAGTAGGTAAAGTGCAAGCATTAACTCTGTAATTAAAAGATAGCTAGCATTTGTTCATCTAATACTAATGAGAAAATGCCCTTTGCATAAAGGCTTTATCAGTGGGTGAAAAAATAAGCTTAGAAAAAAGAGAAGAAGTTGGGCATTTTCTTACACTTCTTCTTTTAAAGAATACTTCTTGTGATGCACAAAAATGCAGTGAGCCTGGGAGGTGGGAATTGGGTACCAAGCAAGATGCTCTCCATGGAAGACACCATTGGCAAATGAGATGACTGTATCTAAACCTAGTTGATCTGCATTTTCTCACAACCTGTTTGACGTCTTGAAGTTAATCCTTTTGCCTGGGATCTAAGTTTGGACCTCATGATGCATGATATAAATTATCTTTAGTAACTATTTAAAGGGGTGATGCTGTTAGAAGCTAAGGGACTGAGTTCCCAGAGTGAAAACTGTATTTCTATTTGAGCCTTGGGATGTGAAACCTTAAAAGCAGCTTTGATTTTTAGTCTTTTCAATTTTAGATGTTGGAAGCAAAATAAAGTCATACTCAGAGGAGAAAGGCTGTTTCTTGTTGGGAAAATTGAGATGAATATCTCCCTATAGTCTTTAATTAAAGCAAGTCCATCTAAATAAGTGTTATTTTTCTAACATTAAGTGAAATGGTATTTCTTTGCCTTGCCAGATATTTTATTCACTGAATGTTGCTTTATATTTCTGTCAGTGAATATTGTTATGAAAAGTTAATTGAAGTTTTAAAAATATTAAAAAAATCTTGTGTCTTTATCTTGGCATATTCAGTTTTGAAATTCTATACCTGGAAATTTCATGTTTTATGGGGGAAAAAGTTCGCTATCAGCTTTAACATAGCTTGCTGATTTTTTTTTTTTTTTTTGCTGTGTAATTCCTTTACCATACTGCGGTGAATCAGTTCTGTGAAAGCCAGAGGAGGACTTACAATTTAAAAGAAGTGTTTAAGATAGCCTTTCTAAAATAAAGCAAGATAACTGCAAGTTAAGCAATACTGCTATGTTAATTTTCAGCATGTTTTAAACTGGATATTCTTGCTGTATTGTAAAGCCGCAGATCTTGATGAAATACACTTGAATTTTTTAAACCCTGCATTGCACATAACTGCACCAGTGCAGCCATGCAATATTTATAGCATATTTTACCCAAAACTTACCAAGGCCTGACTTAGCAAGAGACAATTCTTTTATTAGAAACTCTTAATTAAAATGAGCTTTGTAAAACTAGAGCAGATCAATGATCTATTATCTTTGGAACAAATTTTTGAAAAGAGCTAAATCCAGGGACATAAAACAAAGTCAGAAAGAAGCCCCACTTAATAATTAAATCTCACTGTCCAAGACTGGGTCTCAGAAGCTGTATTACTTCACATTCCTCTGAAGATGGTTTCACTGTCTTAGCTCTGTCTCTTTTCATTTACATTGCCAGGAATCTCATATAGTTTAGACTACTTTTATTCACTCTTTTGGGTTAAATTTAACATATACTTAGTGCAGGAATTTACAAAATGCAGAAAAACCATACTTAAAGTATTTCCCTCTAGCATTTCCTCTGGAATTTAAATATGGATGAGATTTTTAAACTATAATACCTAACCCTGTGTTGAAAGTAAATATATGTAATGTATGAATATATGCTTCGTAAAATAATATGTGATTTGCTATCTTGGGAATGTAGCACTGTATTCCATGTGATGTGAGTTCCAGTCAAGTATTTTGACTTTCATTTTCTTCACTGGGAAAAAAAATAGA